GGAGCAGTTGTGAAGTAAGAAGCGCTAAAGGAAACTTAATTTGTAAAATGGAGCAATAAAAGAAATTACTATTCTCAGCTAAGCTTCACAAAGAGCAATCTCTGGGCAGCTAGTTAAACAATGTTAACCATTCTGAACCAGATGAGAGCAGTGAATGACTTAGCACGGTCATCGAATAAAAAGGCATCAATTGAAGTAACTTTAAGAGCAGTCAACGAAATGAAAGTAAGAGCATCAGCTGGTAAAACACAGTTCAGTTATCGTGAGGAAAAGGTTGTGATAGAAGTTGAGTTAAGATTAATTTCAGAAAGAAAAAGATCAAGTAGGTGTTACGGGTTCCATGTTTTCATCCCTTTGGTTAACCCTGCTTGGTAGCATATTTTACAAGTGGATTTTGCTCCTTCCTTTGTTTTGCTATAGGTAAGCAGAGGGTAAGGCCTTACTCTCCACGTTACTCCATAGTACTTGGAGTTATATGCAAGGAAACCATGTTGCCTTCTCAAAAAATCATGGATTCACATGGCAGTGCTCCTCATTCCAGGTGTTTCTCCCTCCTTTCTTCAGGTTAAACTACCTCAGGATTTTGAGAATGCTCCACACGCCTTTGTCAGTGTTTCATCAACCGAGTGGTCCCGGGATGAGGTTGCCAGCCCAAAGGGTTTCACAAAATCAATAAATTAAACCAAAGAGCAACTCAAAATTCATTTATAAAATATGTGTTCCTTACAAAGCTATCCTAAGACAAAAGGGATTACTTCTATGGAACCCTCACCTACTTAGAGGAAGTTAGCTCCTAGTGAGCATTTTTACAAAAAAGAAAACAAAGAGACAACGAGTCCTAGGATGGGTGCTGATGATGCCCTTTATGAGGATTGCTTGTTCCTTTTATAGGGTTCTTCATTTGATCTCCATTGTTCCTTTCATCAAGGGTCGTGCTTTGTCTAAACCTCTCCAATGGTAGCTTTGCTTCTTGCCAGCTTGGCCTTAAATGGAAGTGGTCCCCCTTGCTTTTGGCTCCCTTTGTGAGTAGGAGTATCAGATTCAGGGAGGCACCTCCACTCTTTCTGCTGTAGCTGACGTGGCGGCTCCCCATTGCTCAGCTTCTTTGCTTTCGTACTGTAGCAGAGGCAGCACCTCCACCTTCTCTGTTGTAGCTGACGTGGCGGCTTCCCATTGCTTCCTTTGACTGCTGTTGTACTATAGCAGACTTCTTTTTCCTTTCTGCGCAACACTCCTTCTTCTCTCTTCATTTTGTGGTTCCTTTTGATGGGCCTTAGGTGTCTTGAACAAAGAAAACTAACTCAATAGTCATATGTGAAAAAGATAATGTTAAATTTGCTCCAGGTCTACCTTAATTCCCACTTTCGGCATTACTCTGGTCCACTATTCAAAACAGTTGCTCTATATGAAAATAAGAAGGTTGAAGGGAGTGATTTATAACCAAAACATGGGTTTTGTGGAACAATTTACACTTAATGGACCTCAACTCTTGAGGACTATCATTACTCTATATATTTTTTATCATTTTGTTTGTAGGTGGTGTGGCAACCATATTTTGAATATCAGTGGCTCGACGTGACTCCAGAGCAGCAGTACCTGTGGCTTGCTGTCACACCTCTTATCTACTTCCACACAGTAGAGGCATGTCAACCGGATAGGTGCATGCGACAGTTCGGTCTTGATCAACCCATCCCGGATGTGTCTAGAAAGTTGAGAGGGATACATGATCATACTCTACGGGGGAAGGTTGAAGAGAACTGGAGACGTAAGCTGAGGGCTCACATTGAAAGATGGAATACCAGGGTGCAACATATTGTTCTGTGATGTGCCTTTGGCAAGTGTGGTTTTTCTGTGTTAAAATTGATAAAGATTGAGTCATAAGAGAGCAATTTAAATACATATTTGCTATTTATATTGATTCTTTCTATGTCAATAATATTCACCTTTTGGTTGTATTTTTACAGGTAAAAGGAGTGAAAATTACAAATTATAAAAAGCCTGTTAACGCGACTCCACACACTGGAAAGTTTCATGTTGCATAGTACAAAGTCCAGAGAATTGGCGCTAGTTGGCGCCAGAATGGCGCAAACTAGCGCCACCATGCCAACCAGCGCCCAAGTGAAGCAAAGTGGCGCCACACTTTGTTGAAGAAATTGAAATGGCGCCAAGTGGCACCAAGGTTGAACAAGATGGCGCCAAGTCACGTAGAAGTTGTTCCGGTTTTTCACAATTTGACAATAACTCCGCGCAAACGTGCGCCACACCGGCGCCAACTGTCGCCGGTTTACGGGAAAGAAGTACCGTGTTTTCAGAAGGGTATTTTTGGAAGAATAAAATAGGCTTATAAATATATTCTCTTAATAGAACCCTGGGGATATCGCATTCCATTCAGAAGGAGGCCGACGGCAGAGCTCAGGAGGATTCTTCCACAGTTTTTCTTCTTCATCTATTTAACTTTAATTTTATGCTTTCATTGAATATTGGATTTTTAGCCATGATTATGCTTGGCTAGTTATTTTTATTTTAGTTAGGGTCACGAGCCCTATGTGAACCCTTGTTACGATGGATTGATTTAGTTTTACTCATTTATATAATTATCTTTGTCTCTACCCTGTGCGTATTTTCTATTTCCTTTATTAGAACTGATCAATCTGATAGTTGAGAATAGTTTGAGGGTTAGAACCCTAGATAGGAATATTGGGGTTTTGATCCTGAAAGGGGGTAGGATAACAATTGGTATGCATGCTATGAATAGATGTGTATTTAATTGCAGATGCTTAAATTATTGCGTTCATTGCTTAATACCATGAGGAACATTGCAAGGAATTGGGGTTCCAATTGGGGATTAAAGGGTTAACCTTGCAAGGAATTGAGGGTTAACTAATAAATATTCTTAGATAATAATTTATCCGAGTAATTATATGAATAAGTATTGTGAATCAATTCAAAGTAAGAAGTGGGGATCATAAGGTGAGTGCGCTCTAGCTACAATGCTTTCCTCATATTCTTAAAATCAATTCTCATTGTTATTGTTTTATTTCTCTTAAATAAAAATTCAAAAACAAGTCTTTACTTTTATTTCTTATTGTTACTCAAAATCAATTCGCAATTTTTCCAAACAACAAACCGAGTTTTCCAACTTAAGGGGACTGGTAATTGTAGTACTTGGTTTACAATCCCTGTGGAGACGATACTCTACTTACTTTCTATATTACTTGTGCGATCGGTATACTTGCCGGAGAGCATCAAGTTTTTGGCGCCGTTGCCGGGGATTGTTAATTCCAATATTATAAATAACCGTTGATCTTTGAGATTGGATTTTTATTTTTATTTTATCTTGTTTTATCTTGTTCTATGTTCTGCAGGTGCTACTAACATATTTTTCGGAGTTTTATGCGAGGTAGACTTGTTCCTAAAGACTTTGTATTTGATCCTGAAATTACAAGGACTGAGAGGAGACTGGGGAAAGTTGCCAAGCAGTTAATTTGGGAAGATTTCAATAGAGAACCTGTACAACCAGTACAAGAGATGGCGGGTAACAACAATGCGAATAACCCACCTCCACGATTGTTGGACACCATTCTGACTCCGGTGTTCAATAGGCCAAATTCAAGTATAATCAGGCCGACGGTGGAGGCAAACAATTTTGAGCTGAAGCCATCTTTGATTACTTTGGTGGAAAGGGTTCAGTTTTCTAGTGCTGAGGAGGAAGATCCTCATGAGTTCATAGATCGATTTCTGATGATCTGTGACACTACCAAGCACAATGGAGTGTCTGCCGATGATATCAGGCTTCGATTATTTCCTTTTGTTGTTAAGGGAAAAGCTCTCAGATGGATAGAAAGGCAGCCAGCTAATAGTATCACGACATGGGAAGACTTGTCATCAAAGTTCTTTGCCCATTTCTTTTCTATGGAAAAGTACAACCAGCTGGTGAATGAAATCACAAACTTCTGCCAACTTGAAGGAGAATCACTGTGTGCAACCTGGAATAGATTCCAGGAACTCATCCGGAAGTGTCCGCACTATGAAGGAGACGATGACAGAAAGGTGGCAATCTTCTTTAATGGCATCTCTCCTGAAACAAGGTTGGTGATTAATAGTGCAGCTGGAGGTTCTATTCGGCAAAGTACATCTGAACAAGCCATTGACTTGATAAAGAAACTGGCAAGGAATGAGAATGAGAGCGTATCAGCTCAAATAAAAAGAGGAGTGATAAAGCTGGAAAGCAATGTTGCTATGCTTGCTGAACAAAAGCTGTTGTCCAAGAAGTTTAACAGCTTGAATGAGAAGTTTGAAAAATTTCAAGTGTCCAAGGTTCAATCAACTCCTGTGGTTTGTGAATATTGTAAGGAAGCTCATGAGTCTAATGAGTGTCCCACTCTAATGGGTGCTAATCCACAGCAGTTGCAAGTGAATGGGGTTTTGTAACATCCCGCAAATTTAGGGAATTATATAAATGTTGCTTAGGGATTTAGAAGCTTGTTTCGAACTCAGAATATATCAATATATGTCTATATATTATATTGGGTAGACTTAATTTTAATTAACAAAAATTATGTTTAGTATAATTTAGGGAGAATGAGTGTTAAGAAATTGAAATATTAATTAGGAGGATAAAATTAACCTAATGATAATATATGAAATTTTAAGTAATACCTAAAAGAAATAGGGAATTATTAAATACATTAATTATAAGTATGAGGGAAGGAAATTGAACCCTAATCACCTGTTGGGTTACGACCCAAATATTTTAAGGGAAAGCTTGAGGCAGCCCAAAATGTATAACTTATCCCTTAACCACTTAAGAAATCTGATTGCATGAGTTATCATTGGTTCATTCTAGATGCATGCCCTCCCATTGGTTGAAAATAACACATCCTCACTAATTCATCTACGGCGCCTTTGAGAGAAAAACAAACAGAAATAATGAGTCCTTGATTCAGAATGTAGGAGTTCATTATTCCCTTCCATTTATGCACACAGCAAGGAATCATCATCTAGCTCACATCTTCCTCTCGTCTCCGCTCACACCGTCGGTCGAGCATCAAGCTGCAAAGCTTGCATGCATTCCATTCTCCGTCTACTTCAAGCCATAAGTTCCTTGAATAGATAATAAGCCACCTAGCATTTTTCTTCTCCTTCGTTCAGCCGAGCCACAAACACCAACGAGCTGATTAACTGATCCTTGGAGAGCAGATTAAACCTCTTGCATGTCACTGAAACTGTAAGCTCCTTGAGCAGGGAGCAAAGTACATAGCTCAGCGTTTCCTCTTTTTCCTTGCTGGTCGGAGACTTCCTTCAAGGAGGTGAGTAATTGCTTTTTTCCTTGTTCCTCTCTGCACACAAACCGGTTCTCATGGGTGGTTCTTTTGGATGAATAAGGTTCTGTCTTGTTAGTCATCTCCTCCATTGCATGTGCGTGGGATAGAGTTCTGGAAGGAAAAGTTGACTCCTTGGCCGATTGGAAGCTGTTGTGTGTGTAGAATCAAGAAACCGTAAGTTACCTCCAACCATTCCTTGCTTTTCTTTTTGGGTGGTTCGACCTTATTGCATGATGGGTTAAGTGTATGCAAGTCGTCATTTTTCTGGTTGACTTTGTCTTGTAAACCGATTTGAACCTTGTAATTTTAACACAAAGAATGGCTTGGGGTTTGGAATAAAGTCTTTTTGATGAGCTAATTGCGGGTTGTTGATTAAAATAAGTTACTTGATCTAATTTAGGTGACAGCATGCTTTAGGTCACTCTTTAGAGCACACATAACCAGGAGAGTTGTTGTGTGAACTAGAAATCCCATGAACATTTTCCATAATAAGAAACTGAATCTGTATAAGTTAAGAAATTTAGGGAAAGCATGTGGTTAGGTCCTCTTTCACGCACCCATGACCATGTTGAGTTAAAATTCTGAATAAATGTCATGAGCATTTTGTATTGAAAACCGAATTGCTGTGTGTTGGGGACTTAGGATTTTATTATGGTAATATGTTATTAATTAATGGGAATTTCCTTTAAATAATTGGTAATATGAATGAAGTTCTGACTAGTAGTACCATTGATATAGGTGAGCATAATTATTAAAGTGTTGGACTAATTTGGCTGGACTATATTTTGTATCAAACCTTGTATGAATTAAGCTTAGTTGGACATCATGTTTTACGTCCTCCTTAGCGCACCCCTGGTCTTTTGGAGTTAAATTTGTGAATAAAATGTCATGAACTTGTTTTAATATTGAAACCTGAATTGGTGTGCTTGGGAGATGTTGGATTTCTTTCACTGTTTATGAATAAGTAAAAATTATTTGAGACAGAAATTTGTTAGTAATAGAACTATGATAAACGAATGAGAATAAAGGGGTCTAGAGGAATGAAAACTTTATGCAACGCATAGGAATAATGTGAGATAAAATTCTGATTTGTGATGCATTTGTTTAGGTCCGCGAACTTCTAAGAAAGTGGACTGAATTGGTGATACGTTGTTTAAAAAGTTGTAAACGTCACAGGTATGTGTTTGGTGGTATTACTTGATGTGATTATTAGCTAGCGTATAGAATTGTGAATTGTTGCCACATGTGCCTTGGATTAATATGCTGTTATATGCTATATGTACGCTGCCTATGAATGTGACAAGATGGAAAATCATGAAAGAGAAGTAATTGTGATGTGGCAGCTTGGTACGGAAAGTACATGAAAGATATGCTATTATGATGATGACCTAGTCATGCATATACACCTCGTAATTCATTTGTTTCTTGTTTGTGTGTGAAGCATATCATGGCATACATGCATGAATTTCATGCTTTTCATGGACTAGGATATTTATATAAATATGCATACGATTGAGCACGCATCATATAGGCATCCCTTCGGTACCAGGGTATGGGACACTTGGCTTCCGTCCGCATAGGCCACAGTTGGAATTCACCTTTGAGGGAGCCATTATGGAATATCCACTGTGATGGTGCACGCACGACGGTGCTATGAGCGCAATGAAGGCGTTATATACGCATTATGATGAATATGGCGTTATATACGCACTATGAAATGTTAGTACGCGCACGAAGGTGCTATGAGCGTAATAATGGCGTTATATACGCACTATGGTATGTAACGGAAAATGAAATGTTGATGTGATTGTTTATAATTTTGTGCCTATCCTAATATTGTTGCATTATTGGTTTTGCTATCACACTACTCGGATTTTTCTCACCCCTTTGAGGCTGCTATTTTTATAAAATGGCAGGAGGACGCAAAAGCATATGAAGACATGATTTTTGGATATTTGCTGTTATGTGCTGCTGTTTGGACTTTGCTATTGCCATTATTTGGTGGATGACTGTATTAATTTAAGGAGTTTGGATTACTGTTAAATTAAGATTTTATTACTGTTTTAAGACTTTTATGATCAGCAAGTACCTTGGAGACAAAGTCTAGAAACGTTTTGCGAAAATAATTTATGACGTTTATTTAAGTGCTGATTTTAAACAGTTTTGCGAGCACTTTGCGAGTTATATTACGAGGGGAAAATGAACTCCGATTTACTATTATTTTATATGCATGCAAAGCCCCAGACGTGCTCTTTCTAGATTATATGGGATATCTTTTTAAATCGTCGTAATTGATTTTATACGAATTTTTAAAGACAACAAGGTCTGCTAGGAAAAACAATATTTTCAGCCACTTAAGAGATTTTGAAAGCATACTCTGATTATTGTAAGGAGATGGATTTCAACTCGAGTTTTAATTCGCAACAACAAAATTATTTTCCAGTTTTAAAATGTGACAAAAGAACTCTAATCCGCTTAGCAAACAACTCTCTTGGATGCATACAAGGGAGGGTGTTACACTAATTGGTATCAGAGCAGTTTTGATTCAAGGTGTTTGTTATGATTGCTGCATTGGTTGATGTTTGTTAATCCTTGTTGTTTGTATATGTTGTGTGATCACTGCTGTTTAAAGTTAACTGTTGAATTGTTCAATAATTACTGAATTGATTGCTGTTTGAAAGTAGCTATGGAACTGTGCGGGTTGATGCATCTAGAATTAATTTCCTGAATTGCTTGAATTATGATTGACATGTGTTGAACTGGTTGTTAGATGTTGAATATCAGAATTAAATTAAGGAACTGCCTGAGTTATGGTTGGCACTTGCTGAATTATTCTGTTGAGTTGTGAAAATTAGTATGATTGAATTATTAGAATTATTCTGAGATACACTGAACTCCTCTTATGGTATTATTTACTCACAGCCGTTGAAATTAACTTATTTGGAGCAGTTCGATTCTTGGTGATGGTATGATGTAGTGTTTGATTATCTGATGTACTAGGCTATGCTGTAAAGATTTATCTTGCTGTTGATTTGATATGTAAAGGTCGGTTTATGCAGTGATGAGAGTAATCTGGCTAAATACTTGAATTTGATCTGTTAAATTGGATTGATCAGTTTTGCAGTTAATTTTATAAATGTGGTTCGAGTAGTTGAATACTGTATATTGTTTTATTTTATGCCCTGTTCGGTTGTGAGGTTTATACACTGTATTGAAATATTTGACTTGAATGGTTGTTGTCACTAAATTGTGCAACAGTTGTCTGACCGTATTGTGTTGCAGTTGAATTGGAATGTGGGAATTGTCTAATTGCTTAATTGATTAATTGAGATTCTGTCCTGAAGTGGGAACCGTGTCTCAACCTTGAGACTACTGTCGTGTATGTCATGCAGTGGGTAGGATCCGCTCGCTGCTTGGCATGACGAAAGTAGAATTAGTATTTATGAGACACGGAAACCTCCTCAAGAGAGAAGTCTGATGCGTGGTAAGTTGTAATTAATTAATACCGGAATGAAAAATAAATAGTGAAGTATGTAATTGCCGATTCCCAGTGTGTGATGAGGTGATACTCCAGCTGTAATTGGGAATGGGTCTGGCCAACACATTCTTCGGTAACACGGTAGTATCAAACTGTCAAACACCGAGAATTAATTAATGGGAAAGTTTTGTTTGGAAATTTTGAATACATACGTTCGAAATTATGTGAGAACTTAATCTAGGGAATGACTTGAATAATTGGAGCAATTAAACTAGATTTGGTAGAACCATATGAGCAGACGTAGTAATGAATTAATGGTTAAGTTGTACTAAGAGTGAGTGATCTCTGTTTGATGAATTGAATATTGAAAACTTTTATTTTGGTATTGGCTTGTCAGGGTAGAAATTTAATGAGGAGTCTTCGGTTTAATAAATTGAACTCGTGAAACTCCATTATTAGCTTGAGTATCAGTTGTTGGATATAGCAATTAAAAAGAAGTATTGGAGATTGAATTTTTGATAATATATTAGAAATTGAGTTTATGAATTGCTTAAATTGTTCTAACCGTCTAGAATGTAATTTCCTAGTAATGATGTTTAGTTAAAGATCGGTTGGATGTGATGCTCAAGAAATTATATGTGTTTTACGATCTGGATGCATATGTTCTGTCATAATCTAATTGACACTAGACAATATTCTTGAGAAAAAGTTGTGAAACAAAGTGATGATGTGTTGACAAGTACAATTATAGTTATTTGGACTGCCTAATTTTTGGTAATTTGATCTTGCTGTTATATTATAAGTGTACCATTAAAAGTGTTAAACTCATGAATTTAAAAAATTGATTTGAATGGTTTCTGAATACCTTAACCAGTTTATATTAAGAATCTGGTTTGCCATTGGTTGTGTAAATTTCTTTTTCACTTGAAACATCTAGATCCTTGCCTTTTACATTCATCGAACTTGAGTTAAAATTTGGCTGACTTGAAGGTTAGAATGATTAGTGCTTTTAGGTTGTGGGTCTTATTTATTTGGAAATGGGGTTCTCTTAGGTGATTGAAACTATGACTTCTTTTGCTGATTTAACATGACCTGTTTCTTTGTTTTCATAACGTTGGTTTCTTATAGGTTCATATAAGATGTCATCTAATATTTGTGGGTCTACATTGATCGCGTTTGTCATTTTCAAACATTTTTTCATGTGATTGGTTGCAAAGATAAAAAAAAAAAAAAAAAAAATTCACTGAGTCACACATCTCACCTTCAGGATGGGGCAATTGCATTACTCACTGTTAATGATACCAAGTAGCATTAGAGGACTGTGTTAAGAAACAGGGATTACCCTTTGAAATAAGAGCTCCACCTCCTTTTGTGTTGTTTGTTATTTTTTTTTTGGTGAAAGAAAGGGCTTAACAGTCCAAGAAACCACTAGACAATATAAACGTTCCTAGTACTAGTAACAGAACAAATATCAGCAAAAAATAAACAGCTAAGTCCAGGAGGGACATGACTAAACTCCTTATAGATAGAGTTCTGGCTGGGGTAAATCAAATGGTTGGCAAGCCAATCAGCACATTGATTTCCTTCACGGTGGATGTGTTGAGCCTTGAGATCCCAATCTTTGTTCATCCAAGTCCGAATGCGAGTAACAATATGCGACTCTCGGACATCATTACCTTTACTGGTAAGCAGCGTGATCACCGAAGTGGAGTCACTCTCAATAATAAGTTTTCGAAACCCTTTATTCCAAGCAAATTCCAAACCTTTCAAAATACCCCATAATTCTGCTGTAAAAGATGAAGCAATACCCACATGATAAGCAAAACCCCCTAGCCATTGGCCATCAGATCCTCTACATAATCCTCCGCATGCAGCTACTCCTGGAGAACCTTTGGCTGCACCATCTGTGTTTAATTTTATCCATCCATGATCTGGTGGCTGCCATGCAATATGTATCTGAGATAACATTCCTGCCTTCTTCGTGATACCTTTATCACCAAAAGCTTGCTCGATATCCATAGCCATGCATTGCACTTTACGCACAATAAGAGAATCAGTAGATCCTTCCTTCCCATGATAAACAGCATTTCTATCATTCCACAGCTCCCAACAAGTTAAAAGAAATATAGTAACCCAATTCAGACTTATGGGTCCTGACCTGTCATTAAATATGTTGGAAGACACCCAATCCACCCAATCCAAATCATAGAAAGACGCTTGTCTCCTAGACAAAAGCAATTTATCCCACACTGTTTTTGCCACCACACAGTCTCTCAATACATGAAACTCTGTCTCATATGCGCTAAGACAACGAGAACAAACTGGATTCGCGTCTGACCACTTAGCAGCCCAAGCACTAGTTGGCAGTCTACGATGCAGACATTTCCACATGAAAATCTTCACCCCCTCTAGACCCTTCCAATGCCAAAAGGCATTCCACACATGATCTGGAATAATTTGATTTACAATGGGAAAACGTTTCTGTAAAAGTACCTGATAGGCATCCTTAACTGTTATGGAACCATGACCACCAATACTCCATCTTTCTACGTCTGATCCTTCATTTACTGCAGGAGGGAGGAAACCAGTCACTATCTCTAAGATGTTATGCGGCAAACAAGATTGTAGCATATTCACATCCCAGCAGCCATTTATATCAAGAACCTCATTAGCTTTCTTAGCTAGATCATGCCCACTAAGCTCCTTCATGCAAACATTTACTAAGGGACCCACATTAGGAATCCAGGGATCTGTCCAAAAGTTGACTGAAGTTCCATCACCAAGTTCTCATACGACATATTCTTTTAAATCCAACCACACCTTACAAATACTCCTCCAAAGGAGCGAATCGCCGGTTCTACTGGTAAACATATCCAGCTGATTTCTTCTACCATTGTATTTAGCTTTTAGAACCCGCACCCAAAGCGCATCATGATCTGTTTTTATAAGCCAAGCTAGCTTACCCAAAAAAACATCGTTCATGAGATCAAGACATTTAACTCCAAGACCTCCCTTATTCTTTGATTGCACTAAAGTACTCCACCCGATCAAAGCATTCCCTCTTTTTTGATCAGATCCATTCCAAATAAACTGACGTTGTACCTTTTCCACCTCATAACAAATGGATTTAGGCAACTTAGTACTTTGCATTTGGAAGAAAGGTACAGTTGAAACTGAAGCTTTGCTCAACGTAATCCTACCTGCCATAGAGAGGCACTGAGCTTGCCAACCTTGCATTTTTTACTTAACCTTATCAACAATATCATTGAATAAGGCTTTGGAGACTCTTCCATGTTGCATCATCGTTCCAAGGTAGCGACCCAGATTCCTGGTCCTTTTGAAACCACCCAAACTCGCAATCTTATCTGCTTTGAAATCATCAACATTCTTAGAGAAGTATATGCTGGTTTTGGCCAAGCTCACACGAAGACCAGACATTAAAGCAAACTCATTCAAAAGATGGACAATCACACCCATTTGAGCTTCACCAGCCTCCGCAAACAACATCAAGTCATCAGCAAAAATTAAATGAGAAATCTCAGGACCTCCT